GTAATTTAATATGTGTATATGCAAGTTAATTCTGATTTATGTCCCTGGGGGCACCTCATAGCTCTCTGCTGCGGCCAGCCTGTGGGGGATTTCTGTTGCTGTTTAAAGCGGCTGGAAGTGAATATCAAGAGTTTTTAAGGTTTGTAGTAAAAACTTCCTTTACCAGAATATACAATTGAATATTTTTCATCCGCAGACATTTTTAGTTAATTTGGGTATTTATAAACTGATTCGCCATAGTTCATAAAAAAATGTTTTAGTGAAGCAATAGCGATCAGAGCTTGCTCTCTCTTCCTTCTAGCCTACATAACAAATCCATTCTCCCGACTTTTTTTTTATTTTACTTTTGGAGTTTAACCCTTAGATGTTTATTTATTCTTCATATCCAGACAGCTCTGCAGAAACGAGGGCAGCATGCATGTAGTGTCTGTCCCCCCAAAAAACTCCTGGATCAGCTTTTCTGATTTGTTGATGCTCCAACGTCCAGCAGGAAAAGTTCAATTCTCTGAACTCCAGCATCAAACAGTCTGACGCTCGCACCCCAAAACACTCGGATGCACCACTCCTGATGCTCGAACGTGCTGCTGGACCTTGCAACATCATCCCTCATAGACTTTCAGCCAAACTATAGTAAAAAAACAGTATTCAACCTGCTGCCCTTGAAATATAATTACTCTGGATTCTTTTTGATGCCACTATTATTCATGTCATTGTGCAGCAATTAAGTTATCTTATCTTATCTTTAAATATTCTATTTTCATCCTCTTTTCTTTAATCAGATTTAATTCATCTTCTTTATCTTGTTCCAAACTGGGACCCAAGTAACCCAATTTATGTAAATGTGATAGGATGATGATAAAGCACTCTTGAATGTTTAATGTCGACAAGCAGAAACAGGAGGAGCATTTCTGTAATGTGATTGGTGCATCACTCACATTTAAATCTAAGAATTGTCTAAAAATCAGAAGAAAGCTGGATTTAACCCCTAAACCATCTGAGTGACAGATGATCATTTTTCCGTCTGACCCAACAGTTCAGTAAAAAAGCTTAAAACAAAAATAAAGGCATGCTGTGGATGATGTCATGTTCAGTGTGGGTTTCTGTGGGTACCGAGTCTTTCAGGCGAGCTGGAGGCTGAGCTGCTGGGCTGCGACTGCAGAGGAGTGTTGGTTTCATCCACAGATGGAGATAGAGAGGGGCTGTCACACACTCTTTCCTAAGAACAGAGGGAGGGGAGCGTCACACACAGACGAGGTGCAGCTTTATGAAATAAAAAAAATGTTTATAATAATTAGGTTCATTGGACCAAATTAGGTAAAGAAATCATATCTTTTTTTTAATGCGTTGATTTGATTTAGACTTCAGGGTAGCATCAATAACAAGGACAGTATGCTTTAAAGTTTGGATGCCGCCGTAGCTCCCGGGTATAATGTTCTGACTAATTGGTATAATGATCACAAAATATAAATATGTAAATAAATCCACTCATTGATCAATCAAATAAATAAGATCCCTTCCTTATCAGATTAACTTGGTTTTATCTTAACACTCCTAAAGTTTTTGTAGAAATTAGTTAAATTAGTTTATCTTTTAGTGCTCTATCAAAGTTTCTTATTGTTACTTAACTTATGTTCAATTTGACATAATAAAAGCCTCAGATATGTGCTAAACAAGCCATATGTTGATGAATATTAATGATATCTTGCGCAACCGGTTCTTTTGCTTTTACCTTGATGACAGGTGCCCGGTGAACATGGGTGTGTATCTGCTGAGCGGCTGCGGCCATATTTGCGATGGTGTTGAGATGGTTCATCTGAGACATGGCCATGGCCACAGAGGCAGGAGGCAAACCCATGGGCAGCAGAGGGTGGGGCATCATCATGAAAGGCAGGTCCAACCCTGAGACACAGAGAGAGGGGGAGAAATTTAGGAGAAAGGGGAACTTCTTGTGAGTTACAAGAAATAACCTGTAAAACCATTGCGATTGTAACTACATGCAAAATAAAAGACCAAACAGAACTTCTCTTAAACAGTTAACCTTTAAACTCACTTGATGGAAAACCGCCTGATGACGTCTAAGCTAATAAGCCTAATATGTTCTTTAGGGTCTAATGGAATTCATAGAACTCTGTTAATTTATTTACCTGCATTCTCATTCACAGATATGTGATCTTGATAATAAATTAATAAATATTTTTTAATAAAGCATCTTATTAAAGGCATATTGGAGGGTTTCCAGGTGGATCATCAAAAATAACTGGTCCTCCTAATTGTCAATCAGTCTGGTGATATGTTTATGTAATAGTAGTCCTACATGCTGGACCCTATTTTCACTTACCGGTGGTGAGTCTGACAGTGATGCAAACAGCAACTTTTAAACAGAGCGTGCACGAGGAGAAATAGCCCTGTGCACGCTTTTGCACGCATTTAATTGGGGTTCCCTCTCGGGAGGAGGTACAGGGTTGTGCATGTGCATTTTTTTTTCAAAGTGGAGAGGGCAGGTCTTCTCAAAAATCTGCGAAAATTCTCCACTGTACCTTAAAGTTGTAAAATCCCTCAAAACATTTTTTTTCAATCCCTTGATATAAAAAATGAAACTCACTGTAAATTTCCACAGTTAATTTCTATTATTCAATTATGCCCTATAAAATACCAGAAAGACTGATGGCTGGACAGCTGTACAGCATAGTACATAATCACTTATGACCTTCTAAGAGAAGGTAGGCCACAAATATTTTGTACTAAAGAAAGTTAAGTATACAAGAAAATCAAGGAAAATAGAATGGAAGGAAAAGTTGCAAAAATAGGAATTGAGAGGATTGTCAATAATGTTTTAAGACAGTTTGCAGGATGTTTTGGGGGGATAGTAAGCAAAGGTGTTGCTCATTAAATAATCATTAACATCAGACACACATAACCTGAGAGAATACAACATTTTTAAAAGTGGATTTTACCTTTTAAAAGACATGGTCCCTTTTAGAAAGATTACCTACCCAACTGTCACCAATTTACTTATTAACAGTAATGATTCATATTTGCTAGTCAAAGTCAGGGCAGATTTCTGCCTGACCCTTAGAATAATAAAAAAGAAATAATTAATAAAAAAAAAATTACTTTAAAAGGACCAGTTTGACGACATAAAGAAGGAGGATAAATCTCAAAAACATAAAATCAAAAGATAAGAAAAGTCATTGGCATTTTTCTGTCTGGAAACTATTACATTTCTGAATTTTTTCATTACAATGAATAAGAAAAAGAACCATTATCTAAAAATGGACAAAGTAGAGATAAAAAGGTAAGCTATCTAGGAATGGCCAACTGACCCAAATCCTTCCTAGTACACGTTATCGTTTTATCCAGAGAGTAAAAAAGGATCAACAAACACAAACCCTATGGGCCCTATGCTCATCTGCACATGTCAATGTTTATAATAAAATAAATGCAATAAAGAGGAAAAAAAATGACATGCATCAATGAGCTTTAAGAAGAAACCACTGGTCATCAAAATGAAAGCAAAAAGCCAGTCTTATATTTGCTTAAAGTATCTGAAGATCATTGAAAACATGTGCTGTGGGCTAATGAGGTAGATCTACTGGTAAAAAAAACAACAACAACAACAACAAAACAAAACCAGCATTTTAAAACAAAATCTACTAATAAAATCATGACAGTGTAGTTTGATAGAATGGAACTAACAAGTCTGCTCTTTTGTACAAACGCCTGAAGGAGAAGGCCTGATCACCAATTTCTTCTGTTTTTTGATCAAATATTCATTTAACTAATAAAGTCACCATTGAGATCAACTCAAGAACTGGCAAGAAATCAAAAATTAATAACAAAATAAACAAAAATAAAGAATACAAAAATTTTACAAAACAAAGATTCATTGAAAAAAATATATATATTTTTAGAAAAACTGACAATTTAAAGAAATAATCTCTAGGACGATAAAGTCCCTTTAAAGTTAAACAGCACTGGGTTTCTCTTCAGGACCGTGATCCAAAAAGACTCCCCTACATTGATCACCAGTCATCACAATAAATGATGGAAGTTGGTTTCAAAATGTGTCAAGAGTTCAGCTATTCGTCCTTCAGTGAATAAAATCAACGGTTGAGAATTCCCTTTTGGTATTAAAAATGTTTGCTTTAAGTGTGTCCAAATAAGTTACCTTTGACCTCCATGACCCCGCTGCCCTAAAAACTGCAGAGCTCCCACTCCATGGACACATTAGAGAGGAGACACACACTTACAGGGCTGCTTTCATTGCAATGAAACAATAACACTGATTGCTGTGGTCGTGATGACTGAAGTGATAGAATAATCAATGTGAGTGTTTGTCGCTTCCTGCTGCCCGGTGTGAGAGTACAAATACATTACTTCTGCAGAAAGAAAGGGCCGAGTGTCTGTCTGTTTGCCTGCCTACATATGTGTGTGACCTGTGTGTGCGTATGTGTGGTGTTGATGAATTGAGTCATTTAGTAGAGTGTGTGCTGATTAATCCAGGCAGAGTGGTAATACAGGAGATGGGGACAGATTAAATGCCGTACATTAACAAATATTGCCATCCTTTAAACTCACAGTGTGAAATTGTGTGTGTGTGTGTGTTTTCCATGTAGTGTTGTGCATGTGAATACCCACTGTTGGCCAGTAGCTGCTGCTGTTGCTGCTGCTGGAGCTGCTGCTGACTGACGGCTCCTAAGGTGGACCCCCTCCCAGGACCTCCCGCTGCACCACCTCCTCCTCCTCCAGCTCCTCCTCCCACAGCCGGGGCTCCACCACCACCTCCTCCTCCTCCGCTGTGGGCTCCAGCAGGGGGGCTGGTCAGACGCTCTTTATCCCAGGAACACTCACTCCCTCCTGGGTAGAGGTGCACACATTGATATTCAATCAGCAATGAACCTTTTTAGAGCCAGAATGTCACAGAGGATCTTCAGGACCGGGATCTACCTTCTTAGTATATAATTTCAGTTAAGTGTTAGCAGAGCACACAGTCTACAATCGTGTTGGAAATTAACCAGTTACCACACATGAATACACCTCGATCAGAGGTGGGCAACCGTTCCTTTCCAGGTGCCATTTAATCCAAGTTATAGCATCCAAAGAAGACTCATTGAACTGGAAAAATATTCCTCCAGGCCGCTTTGTTTGGAAAGACTTTAAGGACTCCCTTGTCTATTTTTAAACTCATCGACAAAAGTACATCAATCAGAATGTTATATTGGTACCGATATAAAAAATGTCTATTTTGGGAAAATTCAATCGTTCAATCAAATATATTCTTTTGAAACATTAAAGCTGATATTTAAAACATACTTTTCCACATTTATGCTCAACAATTTTGTTGGTCTCATGTAATATTTTAATCTTAAATTTTCATTAACTTCAAGCAGAAAATAATCATACAGTAAGTACCAGAACTAAAACCTTAAAAGCATCAGCCTGCTTGTAATTAATCTATATAATGTGTTTCACTTAGTGAATTGAGTTACTGAAATAAGTGAACCTTTCACTAATGTTTTGATTAATTGAATAGGATTGTACAACACAGCCTGTAGGTTCTGGGGAGATGGAGGTTACTTTCTACAACTACATGGTCCTTTCTATGACTTGCATGACTAATGTTCTGAAAGGTCATTTTTTGAATAAGCAGAAAACTCTAAGAGTTGATGGTTTTGTAAAGGGACCCTTTCAATTGCTTCTTTCTAGAACTTGAAGGAAATGTATTGGAACTAGACTAATGCAACCTTTACTGTAGATGGTTTCTATCCTAGAACTTAAAGGAACTTACTTTTGAAGACTTGTACGGGTACAGGTTACTTCATTGTTATTTCAGAACTTGTAAAGTAATGTTAATGATCAGATTATAAAGAATTTACTAGAACATTTTGAAGATCTTCATTGTTGCTGGGATTTTTTTGGAACCTACAGGGATTTATGTTGGTTACTTTCTGGAAGGCTGTACTCATCATGTGGAGGAGTTCAAGTATCTTTAGGTTCTGTTCAATACTGAGGGGAGAATGGAGTGAGAGACTGATAGAGGGATTAATGAGGCTGTTGTGATGAAGATGTTATTATGGGGTAGCGAAACCAGAAGGCAAACATTTTGATTTACCCATTGGTCTATGAAATCTGGATCAGTACCGAAAGAACAAGATCTTGGATGCATTCGGCTGAAATGAACTTTCACCACAGGGTGCCTGGGCTCGCCTTTAGAGATGGGGCGAGGACCTCGTCATCAGGGAGAGGTTCGGAGTAGAGCCGCTTCTCCTCCACATCGAGAGAAGACAGCTGAGGTAGCTCAGATATCTGTTGCCCCCTGGACGCCTCCCTCAACATGTTTAAACATGTTCCACAAGGAGAAGGACCAAGGGATGGCTTACAGGATATCCAAGGACATACTGGAGGGACTATGGTGGAATTCTGAACCGCTCCCTAATCCCTAACACTTAACCATCAGGTCTAACTTGCAATAGTGTCACACTCATAGCTGTGAAAGGCAACTTGTTTAAAGGTGGGGGGGTATAAATGAGAATAAGATGTCTTCTTCCCTCCAACAGGAAAAGAAAGCTGTCGTTGCTAAGGCAACACAGTGATGCCCCTTGTACGTGGCTGTAGCTCTTTGGCACAGATGGCATAAAAATATAACATTTGCCCCTTTCTTATAACAAATATATACGGTCAAATAAAACTATTTCAAAGAGGACCTTCCATTTTGGAATTAATTACGTTTTTTCTAGTACCTAACTTCTGATTTTTCGTCATTGTGATTAAGATGCAGCAAGCTGGTAGAACTTAGATTTAAATGGATGCGTTTCTTCTGGGACCAGGCCGCTGTTACACCTGCTGCCAAATTCCAGCGAGCCTACACTTATGCAGAGTGGCTATTTAAGGGCTGAGTGGTCCACTAGCCCTACTCACTAAGTGCTTTAGAATGACACTTAATGTGGCGGACCCGCCAAGCGAACATGCAAACGGAGGGTTAGTGCTCAGGGTTTTGTGCTTAGGGGCCGGTTTGGGATTGGGCCTCTGTCGCTGCTGGCCTGGGAGCACCTTGGGCTTTTCCCAGCGGAGTTGGAGGATGTGTCCAAGGAGAGGGAAGTCTGAGAGTCTCTGCTGAGACTGCTGCCTCTGCGACCCAGTCCTGGATATGTACAAGACGACGAGTATGATGATGTTCTGCACATGCCTAGATGCTATGACTATAACTTTTTGGAACTCGCAGTGCACCTTCTAAACCTGAGGGTTTTACAACTCAGCTTGTAACTGCTTTTAAGAGTATAAAGAGTACTTTTATACATTTATTGGTTTATTATTTACTTTCTGGAAAGTAAAAAATTGTTTCTGGGGCTTGACATATGATAAAGATATTTATTACCAGTTATCTTGCTGAACTTAGGGTGTATTTTCTGTTTATAAGTTTTGCAAAGGAGGACTTAGAGGGCAATATACTGACAATACTGGTAACAGCAAGGGTTTATATATTTAAAGAATTCTGTTTTAATCCTCTTTGATAGTCCTATGAAAAGCATCCTTAAACCTTTTCTAAAACAACCTTAAATGAAGTCTGACGTCTAAGATCTTAGGTAAAAATGTTTTAACAAGGATGTGAAGAAGTAAGTTATGAAGTGCACTATTTTAGTCCGATATGTAGCATCTATCTTAAAATATCAATACTTTCAGAAGTGTGGGATGGGCAGCAAACAGACTGAGGGTAAATCTGTCAGTAACATTAAGCTTGCTTCCACTTTTTCCTCTACTTTAACGTTGGTCTCTGCACTTTTCGATTTTATTACTCATAATTGTGTTAGTCTCTTCCTGGACCATTTTTCAGATGTTCTCTCCAGAGAGAAAGAAGATGGTATTTCCTGTTATCCATCACATGGGCTGAACAAGACAAGGTATCAGCAACCCTAAAGCTCCTGTTCTGTATGTCGAGTCGCTTCTGTAACAGGTTGAAGCTTCAGAGGTTCCTGAATTTCAATCTTGACCTGATTGATGATTATATATATATATATATATATATATATATATATATATATATATATATATATATATATATATATATATACATATAGCACCACATTGTGTATTGTGTATATTGCACCACAGCTTGAAACTCTGCTGTGGAAAATGACATGTTTTAACAAAGAGACCAATGATTCCCACTTTTATGCTATATGATAGCTAAAAGTTTAACTCCTCCTAGCAAGTAAGGTGCAAACTCATAGTCTCCTACTATTTAGTTGCCAGCCAGTTGCCAGGTCCGCTAATGCCCCTTTGCTTCCTTAAGTTAGCATTAACACTCAAAATCTTGACCAATGCTCACCCTCAATGCCCTCATTGCTTCACACTGTCAAGCATTCCTTGCATGGACAGCAGAAACATGCAAGAGGAGGAGAGTTTTGTCTCGGAGGTCGTAGATGAGTCTCCTCCGTCAGACATTTTTTATTTAGAGGAGGAAAGCGGGGACGAAGATGTTGTGGAAGAGGACGCCAGGGCGGCAGAAGCTTGGTTTGGGGTAGAAGGCTTTAAACCGTACATGTTTTAGCCCTTGCCTCGCAACGCTGCCAGTTCTGTTAGCTCTACGCCTGCTAAAGAGACACAGACGTCCATCCCCGTGAACACTGGGACGGAACTCAATGGGAAAGGAAATGATTCTTATTTCTTATTTCAACCATTGCGTTTATTAGCTGCAACATATGAATCAAGATGCTATGACCAAAAAAATTTGATTGACAGATGATACCATTGATATATGATTGGCCGAATTTAGCTGTACAAGATGACGTATAACTAACTGGCCTGCATAAGATAACGAAAAAAACCCCAACAGATTTTATGACAGGATTTAAAAAAAAATTGAAATTCTAACTTTTAAAGATTACATTTATATACATGTTTAAGCCAGAATGATTTGACATTTAAATATGACTTCCCTACGTCCTAAATTCTATATATTTACCCTTTGGTTTTGATATTTGGTTGTAGTTTTTAGTTTAAGCCACTAGATGTCTCTATACACTGGAGTTAGATGCAAAGATGGAAAATTCTGCCATTGTGTTGCTAAACATCTGTAAATTAGTGTTTTTTTAAAGGTTGGTCCGAGTTTTAAATGTGATCATCATTAACCAGCAGAGACAACAGATGTTTTAAACTGAGTCCGATACATTTCTGGCAGCGCTGAATTATTAAAAGCCCCCCCACTGTGACACTAACCCAGCCTGATTATTAACAATGACAATGTTCTGTTTGACTGGAAAATGTATTTAATGGCTGTCTCTCTTCACGCCGCCACTCGTTCTCTCTCTTTCTCTTTGTAATCCTGCCTCTCTCGCCCTCCACACCTCTGCTTCTGCTTCACCGTTTTCCCTCTCATCCATCTTCATCTCCCTCCATTAGTTTGAATTAGCGACCGTCTCTCTCTATTATTGCCTACTGAATTCCCTGTGCTCAGTGTGTGTGGACGACAGCTGGGCCTCATCTCTGCTGCCATTTACACCGGGGAAGAGAAGAAGAATAAACAGATGGGCAGATGTTCTCTCTCTTTCTCTGCCTCTCCTCTCATTTTCTTCCTTTGGCCTTTGACACTTTTGTCTTTTCCAGATTTTTTTTTCACACCTTTTTTTTTCTTTAAGTCAGGTACAAGTTAATCTACTTGGAATTTGTTGCTCAGACCTTTATCTTTTCAATCCTAATGTGAGAATAATCTGCTTACGTTCTATTGTGACTTCAGGTTTACATGTTTAAGAAATGAATGGGGCCTCTACATTTTGCAAAGTCAAACTCTAAATAAACCACAGAGAAAGCTTCCAGCTGGCAGAAAGGAGCAGCATTCACCTGGTTTAGAGCTCCTAACTTTGTTTCCACAACACTCTGTCAACTCTTTTAAATATACTTTCTTAGAAATTAACTCAAAAAGCATCTTTCATTCCAAAGCATCTTTATACTATTTGCTAAAACTGAAAGAAATATGTAAAAATTCAACTTTAAAGTTAAGACTTCAAACTAAAACAAAATTGTTTCCATGCCAGATCACCTTTCTTAGGTGGAGAAGTTGCAGAATCCTTAAGATATTAGCCTATTATGTTAATATTTATGGTCAGTTTAGTGAAAAATGTTGTCTTTAAGAAAAGCCTTTATGAATATTCCTGCAATATTGAAGACATTTCAAGCCAATTACACTGCTTTAGTGCAGTAATGATGTAGTTTCAAGCTGGTTCTCTGGCTGCAGAAAACCAAACTATTTCTTAGGTGGGATTCTTCACTTTAGATGAACAGTTGAAAACTGTATTTGTTAAAAAAGCATAAACCCTTTAGTGGCCACTGTAGCTTTTCTAAGACATGCATGTCTTAATAGTTTTGTTTTAAAAGACGTAGCAGCAGTTTCTGTGGTGTGACACAGATACTTTTTAAAACAATCTTTCAGCTTACAGAATATCTTCAATAACTGATATTCAGACTTTCGTGTAAAGTCTGTTTTTTTTCTTATACAAGCAGTATTTTTCCCATCCTTCCCCTTTTATTCACCCCATTTATCTTTTCTTTATCACAGTTATTTGGCTTTTATTTCCCAGCTCCGCCTCGTCTCACTCTCTTCCTCTTATAACAGAGATATGGTGTCTATTGACACATAAAACCTCCTTTTCTCCATCTCTGCTGTCATTCTTTCTCCCCTCCAATCTGTATTTTTCTCATTTTTATTCTGTCACCGCGATCCGAACAGGCCTGAGCGATCGACTTCCACCCACCCAACACCAGAGCATCTCTTTTTTTTTTCTCCCCTTTTTCTCTCGACCTAAATATCCCTTTCTCTAAACTCGCCCCCCCCTCCCTCGTTTTATTTTCTTTTTTCATTTCATACGCTGGTTCCTCTGTTCTATTGTCCGCCACAGTTTCCCAGGCCGGTGTGAGTGTCTCGCACAAAGAAAACAAGGTCGGACAAAGAAAAGAAGGCTCTCTGCGAGCGCACAAAAATCACTCCAATCCAAAGAAAAGAAGACAGAAGGAGGCGAGGAAAAAGAGAGCAGGAGGGGATAAATAAAAAACGACTTGGGGAAAGAATGAAATGACAGTAGAGAGGAAGAGTAACTCTATCAACCCATTTGCCAGGTCAGCTGAAGAAAGGGAGAAAACAGAGAAGAATCAGGGTGGAAACAAATAAAAGGTTTGCTCCTTCCTTTATTTTTCTGCTGCTTTTTGTCTTTTACATCTTTAATAATTCAGAGAAACAAACAGCAGAGTTTGAGTGCCTGAGTTTTATAGGTAATATATATAAAAAAAGAAAACAATATTCAAACTAAACAAAACATTCAGACCTGAACAGAGTTTCTTTTTAAAGTTATCTAACTGTTTTGGCTCCAGGTTATTTCACAGGGATCAGGTAAAGGCCCCACCTTCTTAAAAAAAAGCTTTACCATTATGAGGGATTGTATGAAAGCATCAGTGACTCATTGAATAAACAGAAAAAAAGGTTTGAAGGGATTATGAAAATGCACTGCTAAAAAAAACAAAACTCTATCCTAAATTTCAAAGGGTGCAGTATGGTTCTAAAATTACAGTGATGGAAAAGAGACGAAAAAAGACGAAAAAAAGTAAAAAAAAGTAATCCAAACTATGGTAAATCTTCAAGAAAAAGTGACTCTACAAACACAGCAGATGGTTATCTTTAAAAAAAAAGTGCGGAAAAAAGAATAAATTACTAAAAACCTTTGAAAATGAACTCAAAACCAGGATGAGGAAAGTTCAACATTTCTATTTTACAACATAATTGTGAAAAATAGATTTAAAAGGTGTAATCCACAGGCAGTGCTAAAGGACCAACACCCTGCATGGATTTAATGTTTCAATGGTTGAGCACATCAAAATCAAATGAATCCTAAATGACAAGTTGAGGAGATTATGCTGCCATTTCATTCAGCTGTGTTGGACCTAAAGCACAGAGGATACCACAGGGATTGGCGATGGCCATGCCTAAACCATCCTGACTGTCCTATAAGCGAGGGCCATTATTACAAATGTCCTTTTGGGTGTTATAAACTAAAAATAAGAGGTGGACCTTCATGCCTCATGATAAAAATAACACACATACCTTCTGAGGTGGAGACAAAATATTAACCAAACAGACAAAACTACATCCACTAAAGTTCATGATTTCATTGAAAAGACAAGATCATTTACTTCCAAATGACATCTACATTCGGTTAAAAAGTGAAATGTAAAAAGCCTTAATTTTCAGCGTCTATTTTTGGACCAAAGTGGGACCAAATCAGACCGACCACACACAGCCCAATTTTCATCAACTATTGCTCTACTAAATCAAGACTATGACGGATCGACCACATTATCCTGAAAACCAAGTATGGTGTTTTTGGGGGGCTGGTGCTTAACCTTCCTGCTGGAATTGGGGCTTTCTCGGGCTGAATATGTGTAAATGTGGCTCAAAGATCGATCAATTGATCCATTACACATTGCTTTGATATTAGTTTTAACACCAAAGAGCTGTCCCAGGTCCGGGACCAAATTGCAACCCTGTGAAGCTCCATATACAGACTTGTTATTGCACTCCTAAACGATTGACAGAGTTTGGGAGAACAGTTGACTAAGATCAAGCAGGAGCATGCGGAGGTTCAATTTTCATATTTCTAAGCCTATTTCTAAGGCTCTGTTGTGCTACTCTATAAAGCTTGTTACTCAACACTAATCCAGACATTTTGAATTGAAAAAGCTTCCTGGATGGAAAGCAAAACGCCTTTAAACTTGGAAAACAAAGTTTGTTTTTGAACTTTTTTGGAATGACTATGACCTGGATGAATGAGAATCTTCACCAGCATTTTCTAAATCACTCAAGTTTTTTGTTTTATTTGATATAAGCTAAAATCATCAAAATTACAAAACATGCTTGAAATATTTTAGCTTACCCTGTTGAACCAAAAAAATAAAAAAAAAACATAAAATTCACCTTTTTACTTAATATTCAAATATTGCGCCATGAATCCACAGAGCTCTATTTTTTGTTCACTTTTTTTGTTTTTGTTCATTTTGATTTTTTTAAGGTTTAATAGTTTAGTAAAAAACAAGTAAGAATGACATGGCAGAAATGCCCATAAAAAAGCAAAATATGATGCAAAAAAAAGTAAATGATGACTCTCAATGAGGTTCCATAATGTGTAGGAAAGGTTAAGAATGTTTTTGGTGTTGAACCTAAAAAGCCCAGTGGGTTGGGAATCATTGCTCTCAAGCGTTTTATGAGTTAGTTTGAACTGATGGAACAAGCAAAAAAAAAGAAGAAAATATTGGATTAAACAAATTAGGTAAAAAAATGACTTAACTTATGAGCATAGAGAAGAAGGACTTAAGAATATAGCCGAAGACTTTAAAGATTCAAACTCCCTTCTGTATCCCTTTAGATATTTTTCCAAGAATGTACAATGAATCATCTTTAGAGAGATATCTATTTATAAAAGGAAAAGCTGACCAGGTTTAAAGAAATCCTGTAACTTTTGCTAATAATTTCATTGTTATCCTGAGAAGAACACGTTTCTCTGACTGGTTTGGGGGTTATTAGAAGCTCCTTTCTTCTACTATTCCTTTAGTTTCTCAAGTTGCTGACACCGTTAGTTTTGTTCATTTTGCTGATGCAAACAACAAAATAACAGTCTAAAGGCCTGATAGCAGATAAGGTGGGTGTAGGGTTCATTACAGCGCACAGAAAGAACAAACGGCCTTAAAAAGTTTAACTCATCTCCAGGGGTTTCTGTAGATTATTGCTAATGTTCACACAAAACTTCCACACAGTGTCCCCGTATCTGGACTCTTCCTGTGCCTTAATGTGCGAGAAGCAACTCTCTCCCCTGTTAGTCGGCATGTTTTATTCTTTGTGCGAGGGTCGTGCACCTGTGTTGGAGTGCAGGTCATCGTTGTCGGACTCATTGCCATTCTGGAGACTCATCATCATCTTCATCTTCTGCAGCTTCTGCAGCTCGGCCATGGCTGCTGCGGTCAGGCCTAAAACACACACACACAACTCTGTTAGTCATTTCCTTGTCCTTACAGCCAGTCAGCTGATCTGAAACCTATCAATTCTAATGTTTCTCGCAGAGAACCAATCACAAACAGGCAGTCTAGGTGCAGCCTGCTGTTACCCAGGGTGCATTTCTGTACACATTGTGACAGTTAAGACAGGTCGATGTCAAGCTCTCTTTTCAGCACCAGTGTTTAGAGCAGTTTTAGACACCTCGGGCCTAGTGTATATTAACTGATACACACACGCACAGTGTTTTGTAAGGACTAAGATCCCTAGCTCTGTGCACTGACCTGGAACTGACTTCTATACAGAGCAACCAGCAGAGTGAGAGAGATGACCCCCCTGTGTTTGTGTGTGTGTATGTGTTTGTCGGTACAGCTACCCTTATGTGAGTAAGCGTGCATGTTAGTTTTCCAATTGTGCTGCATGCTTTTATGTTTAAGAGTATGTGTGTCTGAGTGAGGGAGAGAGTATGCATTCATGCTTATCTCCGCATACTTTGGTGTGCGTGTGTGTTTAGGTCAGTTGGTTTTGCCCCGGTCACGCTTGACGGCCCTGCAGGAATGTCCATTACACACTGTACAGTTGTCTGTAAGCTATAAAGAAAACAAGGTAGAGGGATGTGGCTGGGGGTGGCGGGATGGTTGGAGGGGAGGAGGAGTTTGAAATTTAATTTAAAGCAGAATGGATGGATTGATGGAAGGTCGACTGGATGGATGGCTGAGCAAGGTATGAAGGACAGAGCTGCATGCAGGTTATTCTAACCTAGACAAATTAATACATATAGTCACATTATCCACTGACTGATGCAGAGTAGAAGTTAGTCATTTCTAAATAGTCATATTTACTCTGAAATGTTAAAGAATGTGTCTTCTAAAATATCTTTACATTTTTGAGTTGTAAAAGTAGCTCTTTTGAACAGTGATTGGTGAACACTACATGCAGTAGACTTTCTCTGAAATTATTCAGCCAGAGAACTGCCAAATGCAGGAAAACTTCTCCAAATATGACAATATGAAACGATCAAACCACGTTGACAAAATGCAATACTCCAGGCAGAATTACCACCAGCACATCTCCTCAATCATACACAAACTATAGAGCAAGCAGATAGTAAGAAACAAACCTTCTTATTCAAATGAGACAAAACTGTCTGCTGATCACATCCAGGTAGTAAGCTGGAGGCGAACGAACATGCTGACCAAGAAAACCTAAACTGGTCTTGATGGGAATGTCTGGTTGAGAACTACCAAATCAAACCCAAAAGTTCAAATGCTAGCATCTTCAAGGGGAGATAGGAGACTTGAAGTCCAAATTGACAAGGACCTTCATTGCAGATATCATTTCTGGTAGCTCTGGCCTGATGATCATCAGTTTCTGGCAAGACAGCAACCACCAGCTCCATGAGTGGACATCAGCAGGGATGAGCATAGTCAAGCTTAAGAGGAAGGCCTTGCATGGCTGTAGCAGACATGTAATGGAAGGATAAAAGCCTCTTTGTCTGTGAACACCTATCATACTTGGATGGAAATTGTGGACATTTAGTTGGCGCAAAGGAACCTCTGGACAACTGTCTCAAGACAACATCTGAGCAGTGGCACACCAGGCTAGTGGTCCCATTGTTTAAAGGGTAAATGAGATTATTTAAAGTGGCAATGTTCACCTTCCTCAACTGTCCTGGGCAAGTTTAATTCAAGTATTCACAAGAAGCAGCATCGGATGTATTCCCAGTTTTTAAACAGCGGAACAGATCTTCGACCGGACATTTTTATCCCAATTCTTTGCAAGATATTAACTTTCAGATAAAATATTAACAAGAACTTGTACTACTTATAAGTGATAAGTTGTTACAGATCAAATGACACAAGATTAAAAAAAAAACATTTCACCAGGTTTTCAAGATCAAGCGTAGATCTTCAGCTACGTTTAGGAGAGCGCACAAAGGAATAGAAAAAATAAAGGTGAATAAAATGAAGTCCCTGTGTGGGGTCAACACTGTATTTGCTGATTGATTACTCCTCTCAAGAACACCTTGATCGTCTAACACACTTTATGTTGCATGTCTAGAAACATAGGAAAGCACACACACACACATGCTCAATCAAGTACACACAGATTCGGACATAGAGTCAGAATGCCCGCTTCGCCTCAGTGCAACCAGGAGTCGATCAATATTGAGGGCAGAGCCACAATGCTGTTCTCCATCATGACTATCAAACACACACACACACACACGGCTCTGCTTCTCTTTCTGTCTCAGATCGATGGCTGTCCGCTGTGTCCACGGTTACCGAGCATCGACCCCTGTCGTAAATGGCGACCACGGAACCTCGGGAATTAGTGTGTGATTGATTGACAGACTGCTTCAAAGACACCAGTACCATATAGACATGTGTGTGTGGGTCTGTGCGTGTGTTTGAGAGAGAGAATATATATTTTCCTGAATACCTGGGAGTGTGTTTGTGCATGCATGTGTGTCAGTGTTCCCCTGTGGCCTGTCTGCACCTCATTTACCCATCTGTTTTTCTGTTCCTGTGCATCATAATGCTTTTTCGAAGGGCAAATGGAGGAAAGTAAAAGTTGCGAAATGGAGTTGATAAGAAGATGTATTACACAAACAAACAAACAAAAAAAAAAAACAGGGAGTCATCATTATTAAATGAGAATGTATTAGTCAAAAATAAAGAAAATATTAGTGATAAGATGATTGTAAACTTTACTGTGACTGTCAAAAGATATAATTTACCCCTTTTGTTTTAAAGCACAGTTTCCCAAATGTTTTATGGCTTTCAGTTGAAGTTGTTTTGTTTGTTTTATTTTTTGTAGTGTAGCTACTGTGAGTGTGATCTACAGATTTTTGGCATTGACCTGTTTTAAAGTTCTATAAATTCCTATGGCTGTCCTTATTTAGAGAACATATACTACAAACTTTTAAAACCAAAATGTTTATTGTCTAAAATAAAATACAATGGGTTTATTGCAGTTGTTTATAGGCCATAGCTAATACTGTAACTTGGCAAGTTAGACTGATTAGGTGTAGCAATTAGATTAGTGTAGATACCTCTACACAATATTGATCTGGGACTGCTCCCAATTAATATGTTTAGGGAGTGGGAGACCTTCTGAAGAACATTACCACCTGATTGGGCAAAGCAACAACTAGTACAAACCTACCAAATTTTGGCTTTAGCCAATTACGGTAAAAAATGAAATAGCAGCAGACACCATGAGAAGTCACAACAACTTATGGCATTGCTGTTCCTCTTTCTGACAATGTCTATTCTGGTTTGACTATGTGTTCAGCAGCTGTTTTTTATCACAGCTTTAGTCCCACCTTTAACCATAATACCTCAATATGATTGGTGAACAATTTAATGTGGGGTGGTTAAAATATTATGATGATGGTGTGGAATGTTTGAGAACTCATGATTAGCATCAGAATTCAGCTTAAAGCCAAGGATTCATAGCTACAAAATTTTAATCAAAAAGTATATAAAGATTGTTCTTCAAAAAAGTAAAAAAAAAAAAAAAAGAAAAACGTGAAGACGTTTCGCTTCCCATCCAGGAAGCTTTTTCAATTCAAAATTAATTTAATTCACCTTCTAGATGGGAAGCCAAACGCCTTTAAACTTGGAAAACAAAGTCCAGTGGATTGTTTTTTTTACCTGGATGACTGAGAATCTTCACCAGCGTAATGATTGTACTATAAATGGTATGATAGGTCCAAAATATATGAATATTTTATTCTGGTTATGACATAAATGTCATCATAATTGGATTCTCCACCAATAGGAATAGTAAATTGAAGTAACTTTGAAACCCAACAAATCCTTGTAGTACTGTGTCCCAGCTAAGAAATGGCTTCTTCTCAGCAAAATAAAAATTAACAGGTTCTAAAAACGATGGTAAACATTGGTGAATCTTGAGCGTTGGTGAAGACTTTAGGAAGCAAGGGGGCTCAGAAAGCCCAAGGGAGGTTGCTGGTTTTGTTTTGAAGAGGTAAGTTAAATATTTGCTTATAATTACCAAAGGTTAGCATTATAGGACCTGGCAACCATCTGGAAAACAGTACGGAACAAGACTGAGCAAGTGTGAGTGGTCCACTAACTAGGTGGGAGAAGTTAATCATGTAGCTATCAACTTTAAAATGTATAATGTTGGTCCACAAAAAGGTGCATGAAAGCATATTTTGTCACTATAACGATTTTTAAGTTAGTTAATACCTGAATATATAAAGATGATAAAGGTCATGGAACCTATAATTAAGAAACTCTGTTTTATATATTATCAATTAATACACACTACAGGCTATTTTCTTGCTCCAAAGCTTACAAGCTAAACCAGATGGTAAGATAAAAGTAAATAAGGTTTCCTTTGTCTACAGTAGCTTTGGATGCTCTTTCATTGCTAAATATTTGCTGCTGTAGGCTTGAGGGAGATCTTTCAGACATATGAACCCCCTTCTGAGCTCCTGTGAAACCCACCCCATTTGCCAGGAGTTGTAAATATTTAATTGACTGCACCTACGTCTCTAAAGAAGTGCTCTAAAAGACGGAGTGACACTTTGAATAAAACAAAACAGGAAAACAGAGAAATTGCTCTTTGTGTTCTGAATTTAGAAACACACTTCTGGATTTTCTTGTTTTGCTGCCTTTTTATTCCTGTGTGCACTCAGGAGTGCCAATTTACAAATGCAGTAGATTGCTCTTGTGCTGAGTCAAAGAGATTTCAACTCAGCACTCTGCCACTTAGATCGCCCATCTTCAGCTTTCACCGACTGTCCAAGACACCCATTTGCAGCCATTTTGCACCAGCCATTTGGGGTATTTCTAATAAACTCTGTGGGTTACTTAAAAGACTTGCAGATGTTTTTGCGTAAGTAAACTATTTTACTGGAAGTCCTGAGGCATTAGAACTAGTCATTAAAGATCAATCACAAAAGCTCAGTAAAAGGTTTAAGTATAGCTTTGTTACAAGAAAC